ATTCCAGTGAAATATATTTATGTTTGTGGTTGTAATGTGACAAAATATGGAAAAGTTCAAGGGGTATGAATACTTTTGCAAACCACTGTATCGTGATATATCGTATCATGACCCCTGTCATGATTTGTATCGTTTCACCAAATTCTTGCCAAAACACAGCCCCAACATGTTCCTGTGCACCACATCTTTCTAAAGCGCTGTGATGAGTTTTTTGGGGACAAAATATGATCTGGAAGCGATTACTAATTTAGTACCTAATACAAAAATGAAATAAGGCCTAATGAAAGTTTAATGGCCACATTTATTTCATATTTCTTATCAGCAGAAGGAGGAACTCTCATATCTAAAATAGGCAAATTTCTCCTCAAACATATTCACTGGACAAGGCCTGCAATATTACTTTTAACATAATATTCTGTCACTCAGCCTTTTTCCTCAAATTTCATTTAATCCAAACAGCTGATCAGAGCTCTGCTTTAAAAAAAAACCATTTTATTCCAGAACGAATAAAAGCCGTTTTAGAAAAACAAAAAACAGATGTCATGCTCTTCTCTGAACAGTGTGGTGAACATGGGACTGACTTAAAACTTGGGTTTATGATCATTAATGAACATCTAACTCCAACTCATTGATGTGCTTTTAATTAGTCTTGGCCAGAACTGTGGCACAAGATGATGAACACAACCTTGGAAAAATCAATGCATCGAAGGATTCTGTCATTTCAAAGGATTTATTTGTATCAATAGAAATATTAAATATCTACAGGCATGAGGGATGGGTTTTATATTTGAAAACATTTTTATTCAAGGAATATTAAAACTACTGCATCTCTATTTTTACCTTAAAGAATGATTGTTTTCATCTTTTAGGACAGAGATGTGTCTATCCTGCAGGTTTTATTTGTTTCCCTGCTCCAGCTCATCTGATTCACTGATGGAATTACTTCAAGTTCTGCAGGAGCCTGTTCACGCCACATTTATTCAAAGCAGGTGTGTGGGAGCAGAGAAACCTGAATATCTTTATCTCTACAGAATATCCGTCCACCTCTCCTGGCTCTCTTCCACCTGCTCTGTACAGATCAGTCTCATCTGCAAACACAGGGACCCCCTCTGCCTGACCCCACCCTGACCATCACCTCTGCATCCCATTAGAAACACCTGATGAATCTAAAGCATCTCAGCCCAACATCTTGCTTAACTCACCCTTTAAATGTCTTGTTAGTGTAATTATCTCCAGTTTGCAGGAAAATAATGTAAAGCCTGAATAATCTCTTCAGCAATTCTCTAAAATTACTGCCCTGTGAGGTTTATATAAGCAAAAATGTGTTGTAATTCACTGCGCAGACATTAAGAGTCTAATTCTGTAAACTATTAGCTTGATGCCAACTAAGCTCTTAAAATATTGATCCAATTTCCTCACATCAAAGCTCTAATKCTGATTCCAAATTCATCTCCAACCAGTCTTTAACAGGCAGCTCCACGCTCACCCTGAACTACTTTCAGTTCAGTCAAGGCCCGGTCTTCGTTAGCAATTCTGCTCCTTTTCGATCTCCACATCCACCCCCTTTTTTTAATAGGTGAAAGAAATCATGGGAAAATGGAGCAAGGAGGAGGCAGAGAGGAGGGAGGCTGACTAAAGAGAGGACCAGAAGAAAAAAAAAATAACGCGGAGGTGGGGGCAGCACTTGAGTGCTGTTGTAATCAAGGCCTGTGCGCTCAAGAGGGTCCAATCAATCCAGCTGTCTGCCTCTACATCTCATCAGGCATCTTGAAGATGGCTAAAAATGAGTAGCTGGGGCCAGGCAGCCTCTTTGGAGCTCTGAGAAAACAGCGAGCAGCAGACAGTTTCCATCCACAGCCTGTAATAACCGACGCAGAGGACAGAAAAGTCCGAAAAGTCCTGAGATCTTGTCAAAGTGTCAAGAAAAATGACTTCCATCCTGCAGAGCGACGTGGGTGCACTGCTGCACAACCTGCATTTAGTTTGAGGTTATTTAAATATTCAGGTAAACAGAAGCTTAAAAAGACTAAGATATGCTCCCCAAGTTGTCATGACTGCTTGTTTTTTACGTCATGTATAGATTTAAAAGTTGAGCCTATTGTCTCTACTTGAAGCTTTTTTGGAAACTTTTAGAATCGGAGCATGAAATCCAAAATTATGTACATGGTTCTCGACCAGAAAAGGGTGCAATCGGTCTGGGTAGAGTCTGCATGAAGTGGAGGACAGGGTTATTATAGTTAACTAAAACTAACTAAATAATAAAAACAGATTGAAAAAAAATATTTTCTCCATGAGTTTTTCACTGTTTGACTATCTTT